CGGTCACTCTCCCCGTCACGGTCACTCCCCCCGTCACGGTCACTCCCCCCCCCGTCACTCTCCCCGTCACGGTCACACCCCCCGTCACGGTCACTCCCCCCCCGTCACGGTCACCCCCCCCGTCACGGTCACTCCCCCCGTCACGGTCACTCTCCCCCCCCGTCACGGTCCCTCCCCGTCACGGTCACCCCCCCCCCGTCACGGTCACTCCCCCCCCGTCACGGTCACCCCCGTCACGGTCACTCTCCCCCCCGTCACGGTCACTCCCCCCCCGTCACTCTCCCTGTCACGGTCACTCCCCCCGTCACGGTCACTCTTCCCCCGTCACGGTCCCTCCCCCCCCGTCACGGTCACTCCCCCACGTCACGGTCACCCACCCCGTCACGGTCACTCCCCGCCCCGTCACTCTCCCCCCCGTCACGGTCACTCCCCCCGTCACGGTCATCCACGCCGTCACGGTCCCTCCCCGTCACGGTTACTCCCCCCCCCCCCCGTCACGGTCACTCCCCGTCACGGTCACTCCCCGCGTCACGGTCATCCACGCCGTCACGGTCCCTCCCCATCACGGTCACTCCCCCCCGTCACGGTCACTCCCCCCCCATCACGGTCACTCCCCCCCGTCACGGTCACTCCCCCCCGTCACGGTCACTCCCCCCCCCGTCACGGTCCCTCCCCGTCACGGTCCCTCCCCCCCGTCACGGTCACTCCCCCCCCGTCACGGTCCCTCCCCGTCACGGTCACTCTCCCCCCCGTCACGGTCACTCCCCCCGTCACGGTCACCCACCCCGTCACGGTCACTCCCCCCCGTCACTCTCCCCGTCACGGTCACTCCCCCCCCGTCACTCTCCCCGTCACGGTCACCCCCGTCACGGCCCCCCCCCCGTCACGGTCACTCCCCCCGTCACGGTCATCCACGCCGTCACGGTCCCTCCCCGTCACGGTCACCCCCGTCACGGTCAGTCCCCCCGTCACGGTCACTCCCCCCCCCCCCGTCACGGTTCCTCCCCGTCACGGTCACTCCCCCCCCGTCACTCTCCCCGTCACGGTCACTCTCCCCATCACGGTCACTCCCCCCCCGTCACTCTCCCCGTCACGGTCACTCTCCCCGTCACGGTCACTCCCCCCGTCACGGTCACTCCCCCCCCCGTCACTCTCCCCGTCACGGTCACACCCCCCGTCACGGTCACTCCCCCCGTCACGGTCACTCTCCCCCCCCGTCACGGTCCCTCCCCGTCACGGTCACCCCCCCCCCGTCACGGTCACTCCCCCCCCGTCACGGTCACCCCCGTCACGGTCACTCTCCCCCCCGTCACGGTCACTCCCCCCCCGTCACTCTCCCTGTCACGGTCACTCCCCCCGTCACGGTCACTCTTCCCCCGTCACGGTCCCTCCCCCCCCGTCACGGTCACTCCCCCACGTCACGGTCACCCACCCCGTCACGGTCACTCCCCGCCCCGTCACTCTCCCCCCCGTCACGGTCACTCCCCCCGTCACGGTCATCCACGCCGTCACGGTCCCTCCCCGTCACGGTCACTCCCCCCCGTCACGGTCACTCCCCCCCCGTCACGGTCCCTCCCCGTCACGGTCACTCTCCCCCCCGTCACGGTCACTCCCCCCGTCACGGTCACCCACCCCGTCACGGTCACTCCCCCCCGTCACTCTCCCCGTCACGGTCACTCCCCCCCCGTCACTCTCCCCGTCACGGTCACCCCCGTCACGGCCCCCCCCCGTCACGGTCACTCCCCCCGTCACGGTCATCCACGCCGTCACGGTCCCTCCCCGTCACGGTCACCCCCGTCACGGTCAGTCCCCCCGTCACGGTCACTCCCCCCCCCCGTCACGGTTCCTCCCCGTCACGGTCACTCCCCCCCCGTCACTCTCCCCGTCACGGTCACTCCCCCCGTCACGGTCACTCTTCCCCCGTCACGGTCCCTCCCCCCCCGTCACGGTCACTCCCCCACGTCACGGTCACGCCCCCCACGCGGGGCGGGCCAGGCACTGAGGATCCAGGGGACACAGGGGGCGACATGGGGGCTCCCGCGGAAGGTGACAGGTGCGCCCGGTCCACGTCTGCCAGAACACGGGTCGGGCCCACAGCTGCCAACCTGGGTGCGGGGGGAGGAGCGGCGTGGCCCGGGGACCTCGGGGCGGCGGCGGCGGCGGTCGCGCGGGGACTTGTGGGGACGCGTGGCCGCGGGGGCCGAGGGGGGCGGGAGCGGCGCGGCAGGACGGAGCGGACCGGGCGGACCCGGGCGGTGCGCGCGAGGCGGGCGCTCGGCGCTTTCTGGCTTTCTTGGCGCATTTTACGACGTGGACCCGGTGGTTGTGGCAGGCGCGCGGGCGTGGGCGGCGCGGCGCGGCGCACGTTCCGGCCACGGGCCTGGGCTGCGGGGCCACCTGCAGTGGAAGCCGCCCCCGCCCCGCCCCGCCCCGCCCCGCCCCGCCCCGCCGCGCCCGCTCGGCCCCGCTGTCCCCCGTGACGGGATCGCGGCCGCGGGCCACCGAGTCCTGGTTCTGAGCCTGGCGGAGAGCCTCGAAGCCGCGATAGAAGCAGGTTGCGAACATCACCACGGAGGACGAGCGGGCCGACCGAGGTCTAGAATCGGGGACAAAATTCTAGACAGCAGGGGCACCGGGCACTGCCTGCCTTGCCTGTGCATCCTCCCTCCGCGGAAGAAGAGCAGCCGGAAATCCCAGATGGCGACTCCGCGGCGTGGTTTGTGCAAGGGGGGCCCGGAGCGCCGAGCGGACCCACATTCCGGCAGGGGCCTGAGCCCGCAGCGGCGCTGCCCGAAGGAAAAGGTCTTTTTTCTTTCTTACTTTCTTTTTTTTTTTTTTTTTTTTTAAGGTTTTATTTATTTATTCATGAGAGACCCAGAGAGAGAGGCAGAGACGCAGGCAGAGGGAGGGGCAGGCCTCTGCGGGCCTTGACCCCGGGACTCCGGGTCACGCCCTGGGCCCGAGCCGGGCGTCCCGAGAAAGGTCTACCTTCCCCTCAGGTGACGCATGGCCCCCTGCGGTGGTATCCAGCCGCCAAGGTGACCCCAAGTGATCCCGCCTTTTGACGTGCACACCCCGGTGTAACGTCCTCCCACACTGCGTGACACAGCGACGTGGCAGGCTGGCACCAGGGTGCGATGGCAGGTCACTCCGAGGCCTAGGCTGTAAAGCCGCTGTGGCTTCGGCCTCTGTACCTCTTGGGTCGCTCGCTTTGGGGGATGCTCGCAGTAGTCCTGAAGGCACTCGGGCGGCCCGGCGAGGCCCCCAGGGCGAGGACCGAACACCCGACGGACGGGAGCCGCGAGTAAGCAGGTCTTAGCAAACCCAACGTTCGAGTGGCTGCCAACAGACCCTGAGCCACAGCCGCCGGCCACCGCCTTTCCTGGACTCCTGGGCCTCGGAGACTGTGGGGCTGCTTGTCGCTTCAAACTGCTGAACTTGGGGTCACTTGTTAGGCGGTGGCAGGTGACAGACACAGCTGCTGCTCCAACCTACGTTTTCAGATGAGCCATCTCCTGACCAGACTAAAGAGCCAGCCCTTCCTGAAGCCTGTGGGCCTGTCCTCTTACAGGGTCGGTAAATCCAAAGAAAAAAGAAAAATCCGGGATCCCTGGGTGGCGCAGCGGTTTAGCGCCTGTCTTTGGCCCAGGGCGCGATCCTGGAGACCCGGGATCGAATCCCACGTCGGGCTCCCGGTGTATGGAGTCTACTTCTCCTTCTGCCTGTGTCTCTGCCTCTCTCTCTCTCATTCTGTGTGACTATCATAAATAAATAAAAATTAAAAAAAAATAAAAAAAAAATCCGAAGAAAAATTCAAAATAGCAGAGTTCATAAAACAAAACAAAACAAAGCAGCAGGGTTCTGGAAATCACCGATGTGCAGCGCTTGCCAACGCCAGAGTGCCCTGGGTGACCGAGGTCTGTGGCCTCCTGTGCCACGAGCGGCTGTTGGAGGCGCCTGGCCGCCCGCATACACCTGTGCCTTGTGGAAGGCTTCCGGGACGCAGAGGCAGCTGAAAGCAAAGGCCTGCGGCGTCGCTGATGTACCAGTTGCTTTGCTGTGGCTTCTACGTCAAGAGTCAAGGGTCGTGGAGGAAGCGCCGCTCTCCTCCCTGTGCCTGGATTCAGTCCTTCCCTGCACAGCCAAGGGTCAAAGGTTCTCGCTCCTCAGCCGCTGGGTGGGGGGGGGGGGACCCCGGGGGGTGGGGTACCCCCCAGCACCTCAGCGGAATGCGCGGGCGAGCGGCCTGCAGGCCCGAGCGGTAAGACCACCAAGACCACCGCCCAAGTCCAGGCAAAGGAGGCCGGTGACGCCCCGAACGAGGTGACTAACGGATGCCAGCAAAGCCCCAGTGACGCGGTAGCAGGAAGACGCGGAGACGCCCCCAGAGACAGGCCGGAACCACAGCTAGGAATCCAGCCGGGGTGGAAGCTTGTATTTTTGTCCATTTACGTAAGTGATCCCTCGGCTCAAAGTTCTGACCCGGAGGTCAAGGGTCGCGTGCTCCCGCCCAGGCCACAGGGATGGGGCGGGGAGGCCCAAGGCGGACGCTGTGGAGGGAGGAGGCCAAGGAGGGAGGAGGTTGAGGAGGAGGCTGAGGAGGGAGGAGGCCAAGGATAGGGCCCAGGAGGGAGGGGGCCGTGGAGGGAGGAGGACGAGGATGGGGCCCAGGAGAGAGGGGGCCGAGGAAGGGGCCCAGGGCCGGTCCCCTCGCTGCGCCGCGTGGCCGTGTCGTCCCGGGCGGCCCCGCGGCCCCCAGTAGCCGCTGCACCTGGGCTCCGGCCGCGAGCGAGGCCACGAGCGAGGTGCGTGCGGCACATCGGCCCGACCCGCAAAACGCTTTCCTGGTGACGCCCCGGGGGCCTGGCTGCTGGCGCTCCGTTCTGAGGGAGACCGGGCGCCCCCCTGCCCCCCCCCGCCCCCGCCCCCCAGCCTCGCAGCCCCGCCCGGGGCGCCTGGATCCTGCAGACACGTAGGCGCTGGACAAAGCGGCCGGTACATCAGAGACATGTGCCATCGCTTTTTTATTTGGCAGCAGCAGAACTACATCCATGTTACAGCTTCTTTAGCTAAAGAGCCAGGGCTACTTGGTTTCTGCTCCGCTAGAGCTTCCCCTGGCGTTCAGGAAACAGACACACTTCCTAGTGTGAGCCCAGTCAAGGCGATCCACGGTTGTTCCCCGACAAACCAAAACAGTAGCATCATGTAATCGTTAGGAACAAAGAATGCCCCTATGTCCATGAATCACAGATTATACAAATTCTTAAGTCTCACAGAGAAATTTCTAAATGGAATTAATCTAAGCATAAAACAAGAGATTTGAACTCCGCCTAATTCTTTTAATCACTTTGAAATGTATATTCAAATAATTTCCTCATACGTATTCACATTAAAATAAAAGCAAATTATGTCATGAACATAATTTGAAATTTCTGATTATGAAGGGTCACAGAGAAATATATTAATTTTCCTTTGGCATTCCTATCTCATGGTTTAAATTCTTTCGTGATGCAAATAATCACTCTTTAGGTAATCATTTAAGTAGAAAACATGACATCTTTTTTTTTTAATTGAAGTATAGTTGACAATGTTACATCAGTTTCAGGTGTGAAAATGTTACATCTTAAGGCAAGAAAAAGTGAATATTTTTTATAAAGTCAGGTAATTTAACAATAGAATCGAGATAAATGGATGTAAATAAACAGTACTTTTTTATGAGAAAGTTTTTTGGAGCTGACTAAAACAGTATGAAAAACTTGGCTTCTAAAAAAAAAACTTGGCTTCTTTTAAAAAAATCTTTAAAAAAAAATCTCATTTTGATGTTTAATAAACACACTGTAAGTCTTAAGTGAAAAAACTAGAGCTTTAGAACAAAACTAAAGAAACCAAAATGGAAAAAAAAAAGTTACCAAACAAATCACCTGAACACAGATTTTTTTTTCTTCCAGAAAACAGGAGGAAAAAACCACTTTTTCAGGATGAATTCAAGGCCCTCTTGAATATTATAGTGGACACAGGGTAATGGATGGTAGTGGGACTTGGTAGTGGCAATGGCAATTTTCTCATAGTCCTAGCATGATTAAGTGTCAAACAGGGTTTTTTTTCCTAAAAGGTTCTAGACTAGTTTATTCATTTTTTATTACTTAAAACATTCCTTTAGTTGTTTAGCCCAATTTCAAGGCAACCTGAAATTGGTACATATGTCTTAAGTACTCTTCTGTGGTCAGAACAATTTTTAAGAGATGTTTCTTTTAAAAAGTTCAAGTTTCTTCCCTTACAATAGAGAGGTTTTTTCTATACTTATTACCCCTGAAGTTCTATTTGGTCACTCCTGTCTCTTTTCTCAAAGGCCACAAAGAAAGCATTTTGCTGAAGCAGCAGTTACATGACCAGAAACGAATCAAACTCAAACACTGAATTTGACAAACCAATCTCTTGAATATGGGCAACTTTTTTTTTTTTTTTAAAAGGTAAAATGTAAAAAAACCCACTTTCTGGAAAGCCATTCATCTTATCTGATGAAATAAATTCCCCAGAGTTATGTAGTAGCAGCATTATTAAATAGTGCAATTCTTCAAAATAGATTTCAAACAATATCCTCCTCAAATAAAAATGTAATTAAGATTACTTATAGCTTTGTTTATAAAAGCACAGCTTAAAACATTTAGCCTAACCCAACAGGAAGATTAATATAAGCAATACCGGTCTTGCCTACATAATGATGGGAATGTGTGCATGCACACACACACGTGTGTGAATCATTCAAGGCTACTGGTACCTCAACAAGAAGCTAAAAATACAAGATATGAATTAAAAAATAAACACATAATGGAATTTTTTAAGCTTTGATAATTCTAATTTCATTCCTCCATCAATAATAAGAATTATGAACAGCTGATTGTTAAATTAAGAATCTATGTAAGAAACGTGAGGAGCTAAAAATATCAGAGCAACATTTCGTATTGCTTAATGCTATAACCTACACATTATGGGACATAGTACATGCAACAGCATAACGATTCTGAGACTCATATTTTTTTTTCTGAGACTCATATTTTAACTAATACTACATAAATGTGGCACAAATGTAAATTTAAAACTTAAAAAGATTATGCTTTTCCTCCTCACTTTTCATTTTCTATTCATTAATCAGAAACTAGGCACTTTAATCTAAAACTTCATTTCTAAAAAATATATTTTAGGTTTTTCTGGGTAACTCCCTCCTAAAATAAATAAAGTCCACCTTAGGAGCAAAATCAAGAATCCAATTCACTGATATGCTAAATGAGCCACTTTAAATACGTGGTATATGATTTACAAACAAAATTAACACAGCTCTGAATGTATCTAATACACTCTGAAGAACCAACCTACTCAAATGAACAACCCATTTGTTCATTTATTTTATCATAAAGGACATGAAATCTATTTCCATGCCATTAAAAAATATTTTGTCCTATATTCAGAGGGAAAAAAAACCCTTTAAAACCTTATTAAGAGTCAAAGCATGAGTATTTTTAAAATAAGGACATAATATGACAAATTCCCAGTGTGCTGTAAGTTCTACAGAAGAAGGAAGGACAAATTACTTTACTATATCCAGATTAATTCCTTCAGATATGAGAAGACAGTTTCAAAACTGCACACAAAAAAATCTTAATTACCTCTCATAGTTAATAAATGTTATATTTTTAATAAATATTCAAGGGAAAACGCTCTAATCTATAAAAAGATAAAAAGAAATTTCTTCAGTTTCGTTATTCTAACTTACAGGACCAACAATAAGATATTCTGGAAACTGCAGTAAATCCAATATAAACTTTTAACTTGTAAACTTCTCAGTGTCAATTCACTTAAATATTTTATGATGATACTTGACCATTACAATTTCTTTGATTCAAACATGAGCGGATGCACAAGCAATAATTTAAGTAGTATAGATTAAACACCACTACCACCTAAACTTGATTGAACAATAAATAACTTTACAATGAAAAATACATTTTCAGGCAAAGTTAAATTCGTTGACACTAGGAGTAAGATATTCTTACAGAAGGGGACCACAAAGGTCTTGGCTAAAGTGTCTATTTTCAAGGTGCAGAGCATAAAAACAGAGCATTCGAGAATGATACTGGACACCGCAGACAGCTGCGGGATGACAAATCAATGAACTCCCGAGTACTGGTTTCAATTCAAGCAAATAGTTCTGTAAAATGCACAACATTTCATGACTTGAATTATTACCTAAAGACTAGAAAGCGCCACTTTGGGTACAGGACACAGGGATTCAATGACAGAACTTCTGCGTAGATACAGTACAGTCACTCATTCTTGACCAGATTTGTTTTCCCTCCCTGAGTCCATATCCCCCAGTTCCTTGTGATACATGGTACAAAATCAATAGTTACCTTAAATATTTCATAGCACACTCAAACTATATGGTTTTAATGGTACTTATTGTACTTTGGCTTCCAACAGGCCACTGGACATTACGTGAGCATGGCTACTTAGACAGCTGCTTGTGTGCCTCAGTGCATCAGCTCCAAGATAGGCCATGAGAAGTTCAGTGCGGCGAATAAGTAACTGCATGAGGTCTTCAGCCAAAGTCTCTATACTGGAATAGCGCACCTTCTCGAAGTCAAAAATGTCTTTGAGAAAGAAAAGAACTTGATTCTGGAAAATGAACAAAACAAATGGGCACTATCAGACCCAAATTATATCAATCTAAATAGTTACTAACATTGTGACAGGTATTGGAATAGTAGTCATTGGAAAAGTGACCTTGGATGAGTGATTGAACCTTTCCTAGGTCTTGTTTTCTTTTTCCTTAAAATATGGGATACTACTACTTATCCTTTTTACTATTCAGGGCTGATGTGATGATGAAAAAAAAATCTATGGGAAATGTCTGTAAATCCCAAAGCACTGTATAATTGTACACAGCTATTATTAATTTTTTCTCAATGATTGATTTTGTTGTTGTTGCTTTAAAGATTTTATTTATTTATTCATCAGAGACACAGAGAGGCAGAGGGAGAAGTAGGCTCCTCATAGGAAGCCCAATGTGGACTCCGTCTGGGACTCCGGAACCACGCCCTGAACTGAAGGCAGACACTCACCTGCTGAGCCACCCAGGCGTCCCAACAATTGATGTTTTCAGTGGTATCTCTGAACACTGGTACTACTTTAAGACAGGAGGGTAAACTATTTCCAATTGTTGTAATTTTTAAGTTTTGTTTTCTAATTTGAGAGAGAGAGAAAGAGCACAAGGAGGGGAAGAAGCAGGTGGAGAAGGAGAGGCAGAGAATCTCAAGCAGACTCTGCACTTGATTCTATGACCCTGAGATCATGACCTGAGCCAAAACCAAGAGTCAGACATTTAACCAACTGAGCCACCCAGGTGCCCCTGTAACTTTTAAGTTTTAAGTGTATACTTTGCCATACCCAAAAAATTTAAGATACACGAAAAATAAAAATTTCAGGTCTCAAATCAGTGGAAGATCATGATAGATATTTCATTTCAGTAAATTAATGCTTGTACTGAAATTTATGTTTTTATTGAAGTACAGTTGAAATACAGTGTGGTGCAGCCCTGGTGGTGCAGTGGTTTAGCGCCGCCTGCAGCCTGGGGTGTGATCCTGGAGATCCGGGATCGAGTCCTACGTCAGGCTTCCTGCATGGAGCCTGCTTCTCCCTCTGCCTGTGTCTCTGCCTCTCTCTCGCTCTCTCTGAATAAATAAATAAATCTTAAAAAAAAATAAAGAAATACAGTGTGGTATTAGTTTCAGGTGTACAACACAGTGATTCAACAAGTCTATACATGACTCAGTGCTCACCATGCTAAGTGTAGTTACCACCCCTCACCACACAACACTATTACAATATTATTGACTATATTCCTTATGTTGTACTTTCCATCCTCGTGACTTATAACTGGAAGTCTGTATCTTTTAGTCCTCTTCACCTACTTCGCCCATCCTTCCAATCCCCTCCCCTCTGGCAACCACCAGTTTGTTCTCTGTATTTATGATTCTATTTGGTTTCTTTGTTCACTTGCTTTGTTTTCTGGTTTCCACATGTAAGTGAAATCGTATGGCATTTGCCAGTCTCTGTCTGACTTATTTCACTTAGCATAATACCCTCTAGGTCCATCCATGCTGTTGAAAATGGCAAAATCTTGGGACACCTGGGTGGCTCAGCGGTTGAGCATCTGCCTTTGGCCCAGGGAGTGATCCTGGGGTCCTGGGATTGAGTCCCGCATCGGGCTTCCAGCAGGGAGCCTGCTTCTCCCTCTGCCTATGTCTCTGTCTCTCTAGCTGTGTCTCTCATGGACAAAGAAACAAAATCTTAAAAAAAAAAGGAAAAGAAAATGGCAAAATCTCATTCTTTATTCCTGAAACTCATTTTAAGCAAGTTGTATACTATTAAGTCACAGGCTGTTATGCCATGATGGAAAAAAAAAAAAAAAAGTAACTCCAAACAACAAAAACCAGAAATATTTCATTTCTCTCCCATGGAAATCAAATGTTAAGAAGTACTAAGAAGGCACACTTCATAGAACCACTGAACTCGGTATCTGGATGAGTCTTCAGCTATCAATCTGTCAAGCCTCCTCATTTTATAGATGAAGGAAAGAGGACAGAGCATGATTTGCCGAGAGTCAGGCTGCTCATTGATGACAAACCTGATTCCCAGTGCAAACTGTTCCCACTAAACATACACCTTACATTCTGGGAGTTGTTTTTTTTTTAAGCCATAAACTGATCAGTTTCCAATGACAGTAAAATAAATATTTCCTAGATATTCACAAAAATGCTACATTTACAGCACATAAACATAATAATTTTTTAAAAGAGCAGTAGAGTAAAACAACCAAACTTTGAAACATCAAAAACTTTCAGATTCATACTCGATTGTTTACTTTTATTTGCTCCTTGAAACACAGCCTAAACTCAAGATATGAAATAGTGAGACTTTTCTTGGTACTGTGCCAGGCAGAAAATTCTGCAAGGAGCTGTAACTTCTGTCTTAGCAAACTGCTGACATTGGGATACAACCTTACACTCCCATGTTCTCTCTCACAACTGGAATTTTATCATTTTTGTTACCTTGAACCAGAACTTCCTTCTAAGTTGCCCACACGTGCAATAAAGACATATTATTTGTTTTATACATTTCAAAAGGGTCCAGAGGTGGAGAACTGTCTGCAGCAACTTGACTGTAACATGGTAATGCCACACAAAAGTGCACATCCATCAGAGAAGGAATGGATAAGGTGAATGGACTTGCTGAAGCTACTCCAGGATAAAGCACCCAATCTAATGATAATGTTCCGTTAGCATTTAATCACTGAATTTAGGTGACTTTTAGAACTTTACCTTTCATTCACGTTCTTTTTTATACAAAAGCAAAATCAAAACAGATAAAACCTCATCTACTTTTCAATTCAGAAGAAAAAAGATGATTCAATGACTGAACATACCTTAAAGAAGCAACATAAGTCATAGAGAGAATTTCTAGGACCCAAAAAGCCCCAGGCAAGGACAGGGCTGATTTGCTCACAAATGGCATAAAAATGGGCAAAAAATCCATCTGGGATCTGTTGGGAAATGAAGGAGAATCAAGTTATTTTTACCTTCTTGAATTAGCTATCTCTAGTAAATTTAAATTGCTATCCATCATCTGATCAGCTCTTTTTGAGGACACACTAGGGGTTAACGATGAGCAAGCCTACTAAAGAAGTGAATAAGCTTACAAGTCACTTTTAGAGTCACAGAATGTTTTACATAATTTTCATATCCTAGCCAACAGTTTCAAAATGTGCTGAGGAACATTATTTCTTGAAGGCATTTTCACCTCATAAAAATACTTCATGAAAAAGTAATCATATTAGTGTTACAACCAAGCAATAACAAGAATGCTGTGGTGTTCCTGAGCAGTATGATTTTTAGGATGAATGAGATTACCATGGTTTCAGCTACTAAACAGTTCTATTCAATCACTTAATTAAAATATCTGAAAAAGACCTAAATTATTTTTAAATGCCTAAACATAAAAATATGCTTATTAGAATCATTTTAGTTGAGGAACCACGTATTACTGAAATACTTAATTGTATAATTACTACCTCTTCTTGTGCAATAGCAATCCATACAGTTATAATTCAGGAACCTCTCTAAGTTTATTAATAACTTTCCCTTGTTAAATAACATCCTGTGGGATTTGTCATACTGCATCAATTGGGGATAACTACGCCTTAAGATTCTGTCTCCTGGAGGGGTTATTTTCTATTTTATAGACTCCAAAATATCTTCTACTAAACCTCAATTAAAAAAATATATAATCTAGCAGCAATTACCATTTAATGAGTACTCATTATATTCCAGATAATGTGCTAGGTTCTATTTAATCTAATAAAATGTTCCTGAAAAAGTAGGTCATGTTAACATCATTTTAATAATGTAGAAAATGATTAAATGTCAGAGGATTTAAGTTAACCTGTCCTAAGTCGCACACAGCTAACCAGTGAAGACCAAAAATTTATGAAGGATCCATTGAAGTTATTACTTAGTCTGAGAGGTCCTGCATATATTAAAATTCTAAATCCCATAGACTCTAACTGTAGTCAAAGTTCAGACAGGTAAGGACATTAGCACGAGCTGATTCAAGAGACACACTTCTCCAACTAATAACATAAGCCGAACTCAACCACAGGGAAGACATATTTAAATACAAAGGAAAGGAATCCCTGGGTGGCACAGCGGTTTGGCGCCTGCCTTTGGCCCAGGGCGCGATCCTGGAGACCCGGGATCGAATCCCACATCGGGCTCCCTGCATGGAGCCTGCTTCTCCCTCTGCCTGTGTCTCTGCCTCTCTCTCTCTCTCTGTGACTGTCGTAAATAAATAAAAATTAAAAAAAAAAATAAATACAAAGGAAAGAGTATGGCATTCCAGGCATAGAAAATAGTTCCCCAAGAGGTGAGATATAAAGGTATTTGTGGATATGGACAGAAGACTAGCTTAAGGCACAAGATTTATGCTAAAAAGATATAAAGTTATATATGTTATTATTATCGTGATTATTATGGAAACTACCACTTATTAAGCTCATTTTTATATTTACTTTTCATTTTATGTAAAAGAAGCTGGTTGATATCTCATTTCATCCTTACACCGACCCTATGAGATAGGCACCAATTCCATTCTGCAAACAGGAGAACTGGAGGTCCACTGATAGCCAGGAACTTGCCTGAGGTCATAATAGCTAGTGTGAGAATCAAGCCCAAGTCTACAAAAGTCTGCTCCCTAGCCCCAAAACAGTGGTTCCCAAATGTTAGAATTTATAATCATTTGGAAAGCTTATTTAAAACACAGGGTCTCTGGAATCATTTTAAACGAGAATTATTCACATGCATGGTCCCCAGAATACTTAAAAAATGCTATCAGAGCCATTTCTAATAACCATAAACCTTCTCTCACATACTAGAAATACCATGCATGCCTCAGTATTTGCTCTACTGAACTGTATAGAATGTTAAGGAAGAGGAAGAAGGAAGTCAAAACAAGGGAAGCCACCCATCCAGCTTGAGGGACAGTCCCTATGAACTGCCATCCCCATTGGAGAAATGACTCGGCTGTTTCTTGGACAGGAGCCTCAAATGACCCAAAAAAGAAGTCCAAGGCATAATGAAGTTTACCTTCATCTGTTGCCTTTTCTGTTTCAGCACTGACCAACAACTTGAAGCCACGGCCTAGATAAATGCAGAGGAGAAAAAGCAAGACTTACGTTTATGACTATATAAACTTTGCATTAGGAGTGGTTTTTATTAGAAATTCATAGATTATGGGTTTAAGATGTTCAAAACATTAACCAGGTTCCTTCTATTGTTTGTGAGTAATAATGAAAAGGTATTTTGTTTTTATAAATTTTAAACTTGAATACAAAGCCACTGAAGGAAAAAGGCTAAGCTCTGGTACCAAGAAACTTGATTAGCTCTAATTTAACTCTCAGAGTTCTTCAATTCTGTTACAATGGGAAAAGAGTGAAAATACGTGGACACAGATAAAAGTATACAACAGTTGTTTTATGTGTAATAATGACGAAGTAATACTTTTTTTCAAGAGTAGTATACTGCTGGAAATAGGTGTGGGTAGAGCTAACAGTTTTATTCCAATAAGGAACTAAGAAATACAGCCTTAATGATAGGGAGTAAAACACCCAAGTAAATCTTACAGAAATCTGGCATGGCTCAACTTTGATCAAGGTCACGTCACCAAATCAGTAACAAAAACGGGAGAACATGCGTGTAACTTTTATAGTTAAACAAAGTTTGAGGGAAAAAATAGATTTACTAAAGATGCTTTAAAATTTAGTATCAGGAATTTCCAAAATAATTGTGAAATAGGCAGCTGCAACTTTTTAAAAAGGCATTCTAATTGCAGCATGAATATGCATTCCACCTACTTCCTTCCAGGTACATACTTCAAGCACAACAAAACAATGTCAAATACAGATCTGAATACAAAAAACAAGAGAAACTGAAAACATTCAAAGTATAGAGTACAGTTTAAAGCTGTTTTATTTTTGCATATGCTTATTTCTTTTATGCCTCTAACTTCTTAATTTTTAAAAAATTTATTTTTAAGTACTCTCTATATTCAACATGGGGCTTGAACGTGGTTGAACGTCTGCCTTTGGCTTAGGGTGTGACCCTGTGGTCGGGGGGATTGGGAGGGATGGGACCAAGTCCCACATGGGGCTCCCCACGGGGAGCCTGCTTCTCCCTCTGCCTTTCTTTGCCTCTCATGAATAAAGAAATAAAATCTTTAAAAAAACAAAAATGAAAACATGGGGTTTGAACTCACAACCTTGATATCAAGAATCACATTCTCTACCAATTGAGCCAGTAAGGGTGCCCTCCTTCCTCATCTAATTTTTCGTAGTATTTGAGAACATGAATCTCCATATTTTCCTTTAAAAAAATACATATTGTCTTTTCACAACTGCTAGATTTCAGGTTAGTCACAGAGCCAGTTCAGTTGCGATTTTTGGTTAGGCCTAAAGTAGTCTGAAGCCCGAGTTTAAGATGGGAAGAAACACTGGGTCCTTCAGGTCAGTGTAGGGACAGACAGACGAGCCAAAGGGGAGTTTCATCTGAAGAAGTTGTGGATCATACATATCGGATCCCAATATCAAAAATTGAGCCCAGTTTCCACACTAGTCATTTTATAGGCAGATATACAAGTAAATCTTATTGATCTTCCCAGCTCTGACCATTTCTCATCAAATCAATATGTTTCATAAAAAGGTAAACCACCACTTACAGTTTCTTTGAAGGAGGAGTTTAGCCAGCGATTATTTACTACATTCTGTATGGATGTCGGTGGGTTTTCTAAATCTTCAAAGGAATCCATTAATATAAAATCCAGAACAACATCATAAAAATTTAGATTTTTCACCTGCATTAAATTATGAGTTAAAACACAAATTATTATTACATAGAGCTGAAATAAAGTCTGAGCCAGGGCTTCATACTCTATAATAGCAGGGTGTTATAGTTGAATCAGATTGTATCTCTAATGAAAAAAGAGGAAGAAACAAATATGAAAACAACTCACCACCAGAAACTATAATTCACCTAACAGCTGTTCCTTCCTAGATCCCATCAGATGAAATTAATCTCTCCTTTACTGCATTCTAGGAGGCCTTTGCTCATGCTTTTATTATGGTATCTGCACTGCTCAATCTGCTGTTACTTAGTCCCTGGGATATGTGCCTATCTTCCCCACTGCACGGGGAGCCTCTTGCTCCTCCATTCATTCATGCATAGTGTTGTACTGCATGCTGTACCAGGTGCTCAGACTTCAACAGCAACCGAATGAGATGCTTAGAATTTAGTGGGAAAAACAGCAACAAAGAATCCCACAAATACACAATTATAAACTGTGATAAACCCAGTAGAGGAAACAATACGTGGTACTATGAGAACTTCTGATGGAGATTCTCATCTAGACTAGATGTCAGAGAGGGCCTTCTTTAGGGAGGGGGCATCCCAGGTACAGGAGGTACCTGTCAAAGTGTTTCAGGTAAGAAGAAACACAGAGGTGTGGAGTTGAAGAAAATCATCTGATGTGAGCCATGGTTCTCTTGAGCAGAGGGCACAGGGCAAAGCAGCTGGAGACAGGACAAAGGGCTAGCTCCATGTCCATGATTTTGGATTTTATCCAGTGTTTTGGAGGAGCAGTGGTAGAGGGTAGATGGATGATCAGATTTGCATTTTTTAAAGGCTGTTGGGGACCCAGCATAGAGATTGGGATGCAGACGAGAAAGGGTGACTGCAAGGAGGCAGGAAGCCAGAGGGAATCTCGGAATGCAAAGACTCCGAGGTAGTCCAGGGAGAAGGAATAGTTACTCAGGCACAATGGCACTGGCAGGATTAGAGAGAAGTTGAAGAAACAAAAAAAAAAAAAACCTGACAAAACTTAGATGTAAATATGATATAGTAGGCAAGGACCAGGAGGGGTAAGGGTGAGTCCTGCACAACTGAATGGATGCCAATCCCTTCAGCAAGTGAGCAAACGCCAGAAAAAGAAAGATCATTTCTCTCTGTTTTCTCTGCCTCAAAAGCTGAAAGCTATTCAGCCCCTTGCAAACTCACTCTTGAAGCTTCTGTTACAACAAAGTGTTCCAGGCTCATCATGTACTTCCCCCTACCCCGGTGCTAAAATCAGCTAGTTTTCCAAGGAGTCCTGGGTTCCTTTTAGTGATGAGTGGTACTTAGAAGCCAAGCTCTGTGTGCTAGGAGTAATTTTTTTTTTTTTGAGGTGTTGCTACTCCCAGACTCTCTTGGTGAACAGAACTAGGAAATATATGTGTGCTTCTAAATACACAAACCTTTATATTTATTTCTACATCTTTACACACACACACACACACACTCTAAACTACAAATTCACAAGGAAAGCTCCAACTCCAATCCTAGCTTTTTATACCTTCCTTCCCAGAGACTGTGAAACCTGGCTCCCATTATTATCAATATATTTATTTGTTTAATCCTGTGTAGTCAATCCCTTGCCCCCCCCCCCCCCAAGCTGTCTGTTGTCCCATTCAAAACCATCACTGCACAGGCCACCACTCACCCTGTTAGGGCCTTCTCATTGATGAAGGGAAAAAGAAGGAAGGAGGGAGGGATGGGGAGAAGGAGGAAAGAAGGGAGAAAGGGCTGGCTTTAAAAAACCAATTGTTTTCAACTACTGCCCCAAAACACAAAGACTGTGGTTGCTGTTGTTTATGATTGCCATAACCACTGCAACATAATTGGTTTTACTGTCATTCAACAAGGACAAGCTATCATATGAACATAAGGAAGAGGAATGAATATTACAAAAAATTGAAACTTACTCCTCTAGCAGCAAGTTCCATTTCAGTACTATCCCAGTGATCAGTCTGCTCTAAAAAATAGATCATTTCATCAAAAACATCTTCAAACTTCTTTGGGTTCTGCAGAAAAAAATACACTTTAATCCTAAACTCAACTTTATAACAAGGCTCAAATCTACAAAATAAATGAGTTAAGTCTTCAAGAATGTGTATTAGATCTTTAATCTGTTAAGTAATTGAATTAAAATATATTTTCAAGGTATGTCATATTCACTTGGTTTAATATTTTGTTGTCCCAACATTTGGCAGAACCCCAAAACGTGGTTACAGAAGATGCTACATGATGCTTTTCATGCAGTTCTATTCCTCTTGGAGGAATTCTAGTTGAAATCACTGGGTTTAATCTATCACAGGAAGGTCAAGAAAGCAATGTAAGACTTAACTGGGAATTGCAAGTAGTTAAGATCACCTTACATTTATTTTGCACTTAAAAATTTTTTTCTTTCCCACTTACTCATTTAATGAACGATCTTAAGAACCCTCTGACACAGTATACCATAAATATAATTTTATTATTCAAATGAGGTAATTGCAGTGCAAAAGGATCAGAAAACCAGGTGTTTAAATGGATCAAGGAAGGCCCGTTTTACTTGATTTTTTTTCTCAACATCTGGACACACTGTACATAAAGGGAAGTGGTTCCTTAGAATCTTAATGACGTTGTGATTGTTCTGCCTCATGCGGTCCCGTGAATAAGAGTAACTTGTATTACTCTTTGCAGATTTCTGAGATCTACACTATTTCCTGGAAGCTCAATGAACATGATTTGAGGGAGGTAAATGAAGAGGTCTTAGAAATAACAATAGTGGTGGTTGTAGTATCATATATCATGATCCTCAAAATGACATTCATAAACTTCACAGTGAACTGGGAATAATATATGAGTAACAACTTGATCAAAATAGTGTAGACTTCATACATAGAAACAAATCCACCCAAGTAGAAATAAGGGCTCTTTATAGAATTTATTTTTAATATGTGAACCTTTCCAACTATCTACAAAAACTTTTTCTTCTAGTAAAAATTCAATGTACTGGAATCTTCAGTTCAACAGAAACAACAACAGTAAACACTTGTCAACAAAACAAGTTTACCTTTCGTGCTTTCACAATTAATGCTGATAAAATTTTCCTTCCACTCTCAGCAAGGAATATCCTGTTGGCTGTTTCCGAAAGTATTACCTGAAAAAATATCCAACCCCAAAGAAGAAGGAAACCTATAATTAATCTGAATGGACATCTGACTCTATAGCACATCTACACATAAACAACCCTAATACAGTCAATACATCATATGTGGCACTATTTCTGCAAGTAGACCACACAGAAAGTTTTAATTTACTAACGTAAAAAGAGCTCTTGAAACCTATAATCAAGAAAGGTTAAAGGGAAATAAATATGAATTTAAACTGTGTTCAATTTAATACTAGAAAATCCAAAATAAATGTTATATAGTCTCCAAAATATAGAAAAATAAAGATAATTTGTTATGTGATCTTATTTCATTTTAGGAAGTCAATGATTTTACAACTGATTCAAATACAAAACAATCTGAGAAACATACTACTTGATAATGGGAGGATGTTTATTTTCAGCAGCCATCTGCACAGATCTGCAGTATCAGAATACCCTGTTTGACAAAGTGTGGTGGAGCTGGGAAGCCATGGCACAGGACAAAGACAAATGAAAGAGCAGGCAGGAAAAATAAACTTAGTAGATCTTATACTTGCCATTAAAAATAAGGATAATAAAGAGCAAAGAGCTGTCCTGTTTATATTCAGCTGGACTCTATAGCATGGGGTAGGGGGCAGGAGAATGAGTGGCTAGGTGAAATCACTTAATGTTAAAAAAAAAAATACCTGAAAAGCCTGCCGAATACAGTGAAGTTTGGCAAGAAAATCACTGTCTCCTAGGCACTCCAACATTTCAGTTCTATGTAATAAACAGGGAAGACAAATGTTAAACTGCATTCAAGATCAAGCCCACTACAAATTTGGATTCAAACAAGCCTTAACCTCAGGACCTTAATATAAAACACATGTCTTTTCAATACTGACAAAACAAGTAAAAAAACATTTTTGAGCCTAAAAAACCTTTCCCCCCATTCTCGTAAACATCCTTAATAAATATTACACAAACATAGCAACAGCACCCTAGTATTTTTCATTAACGAAAGCAAAACTGAAATGGTACCTAAGCACTCTTGAGTAGATTTTCCCTTCTTCAACTAAATGCATGGCTTCTTCATAAAAAGGGCAATGACACAAAGACTCTAGTCTGTAGGTATGCCGTACTTCTCTGTGCTCTGCAAGCTAAGAATGCAGTGGGTTACAACAGGATACACTGATAGAAGAAAAAAATTATAAAAGATAGAAAATAGGATCTTGCTAAAATATCAAAACATTGATCTGATGAAACCATAAAAAGCATTCAGTAAGACTGTACAGCTAGTGAGCTCTAAATTCACTTTATTTCAAAACTCAGTTGTACAAATGACTGAAACTTTTAACAAGCTTTTGAATTTGTTAAGCCCATAGGATACATAGAAAAGTAGTATCCTACAGTTCGGCAATAAGAATAACTGAGGATGAAATATTGAATAAAAGAGAGGAGGATTTAACACCCAAAGAATGCTTAAAAGTTTTAGAATTCACAAGTGTAAATGAAGTAAAACTTTCTACAAAAACACTGCAATCTCAGTTTGGCTATTCTAAGGAATTTTTTCTCAGAGCCAGCTCCAACTAACCTCTGTATAACTGAAAAACAGTCATGCACCTCTGGCCTCCCTAACAACTCTACATATGAAATTCTAGTCTTCTGACAATTAAACAGCAAACATGACAGAGCAGCCAGCTAAGCAAGAAACCTTTGCAGTGATGTTAATTTTTCAGTACCAGGTGATCCATTTAAATAGCATGCTGTAGGGGTTTTTGGTTTTTTTGTTTTGTGAAGATTTTAAAAAATTTTAAAGTAACCTCTACACTTAATGTCAGGCTTGAACTCACAACCCCGAGACCAAGAGTTGCATGTTGTACTGAGCCAGCCAGGTGGCCCTGGATTTGTTTTTGTTTTTGTTTTTTTAAGTATCCAGAGAGAGAAAGAGTGTCCAGACCCACAGGCATGCTAGCACGCAAGTGGGTATGCGGGGGTATTTGGGGACAAGCAAGTAGAATCTGTACTGGGCATAAGCCCGATGCAGGTGAACTCAATCTCACGACTCAGAGATCATGACCTGAGCCGAAATCAAGAGTGGGATGCTGAACCAACTGAGCCACCCAGCTGCCTGGTTTTTTAATAACAGCTTTATTAAGATATGATTCGCATGCTATAAAATTCATCCTTTTAGTGTACAATTCAGGGGTTTTCAGTGGATTCACTGGATTTTGCAATTAGTGCCACCTTTTAGTTCCAGAATATTTTTACCATCCCAACGGGAATCCCCTTACCTTGGTCATCCCTGTTTCCCCTTCCCTCTAGCCCCTGGAAACTAATCTACTCTCAGTCTCTGGAGTTGCCTACTTTGGAAATTCCATGTAAATGAAACCAAACAAAATGTGGCCTTTTGTGTTTGATTTCTTTCACTTAGCAAAATGTTTCCAAGGTTCATCTATGATGTAGCTGTTATCAGTACTTCATTCTTTTTTATGGCTGAATTGTACAGATATACCACTTTCTTTTTTTTATCCACTCCTCAATTGATAGACATTTAGGTCACTTCCACTTTTGGTTATCATGAATAAAGCTGCTTTGAACATTTGTGTAGAAGTTTTTAATGTTTTCAATTCTCCTCAGTACACACCTAAAAGAGGAAGGGTCATATGGCTACTCTATGTTTAACTTATTTTTTACTTATTTTTTTTTTTTTTTGAGAGGGAAGGAGGGAGAACGAGAGAATCTTAAGCAGGATCCACACCCAGTGTGGAGCCCAGTGTGGGACTCAATCTCCCAACCTTGAGATCATGATCTGAGCCAAAATCAAGAGTCAGATGCTTAACCAGTTAAGCCACCCAAGCACCCAACTCTATGTTTAACTTTTTGAGGCACTGCTAAACTGCTTTGCAAAGAGATGACATCATGTTCCACTCCTACTAATGTACAATGATTTAAATTTTTCCACACCTTCACCAATAATTATTACTATACATTTTTAAAAAGATTATTCATTTATTTGAGAGAAAGAGAGGACACGCAGAAGCAGTGGGGAGGGGCAAAGAGAGAGGGAGAAGCAGACTTTCTGCTAAGCAAGAAGCCCATGAGATCCCAGGACTCTGAGATCATGACCTAAGTCAAAGGCAGATGCTTAACCGACTGAGACACCCAAGTGTCCCTATTATTATCTAGTTTTTACATTATAGCCACTTCTGTGGGTGTAAAGTGGTTTAATTTCTCTAATGAAAAACAATATTGAACATCTTTTATCTCCTCATTGGCCTTTATATATCTTCTTTGGAGGAATGTTTATTCAAATCCGTTGCCCATTTTTCAATTGGGTTATTTGTCCATCTACTGTTGAATTGGCACCACTCAGTATATATTCTGGATATGTGTCTTTATAAGACACATGATTTACAAATATTTTTCCCAATCTGCCATTTCTTCACTTTCTTGTTTGTGTCTTGTGAAGCACAAAAGTTTTTACTTTTGATAAATTCCAATTAATGATCCTCCCTCCCTTTTTTTCTGCCTTAACTTTTACTCCCTGCTTATGCAGAACATCAAGGTCAGCCAGAGGTGAGGGGTTAGGGACTTCTAAAGTCTTTCCTGAACATAACTCACAATCCTGCACATGCCTGTGGCCTTCTCGATTACCAGGAATAGGTTGGAAATTTTCAAAGCCCCCTTTTAAAAATCTCATTGCTCAATTTTTCCTTTTAAGTTTATTGGTCAGCCTCTTATTAGCCTTGACTGGTATCACCACCTCAGGGAACTATAATGTTAAACAATTGCCACTTATTGTTTTCAATAAAGGCCATAGGGATTGTACTTTCCTACAGAGCGAGCTCTAAGTCAGATCAAATATAGTTAAGTCTTGAAGATGGCAGGGAGCTGCCATATAGGTCAAAACAGAATTTTGGGAAGATCCAAAGCCATTAAGTGTCTTTTAGTGGTTGCCAGGCCTGGTTTTTGCAGTTACCACGTTTGTGAAATTGTTGTTTTTCAAGACTATGGAAGAGAAGGGGATGGGAACAGATCAAGTTAAAAATCCACAAAGTTCACTGTTCTTGTGGAGATTCATTTTTCTTTAAAAAAAAAAATGCCCCTTAAATTTCTGTAAGTCTTTCATTAATTTTCAGAGTTCTTAAAACTTTGAGTTTGACAATTCTTGCTAGTGTTTTCATTGCTTTGCAAAAGAGATTTTTGGAGATTGTTAATCTATTATTCCAGAAGTATTTCTTCATGCTATAGTTTTGGCACTTCATATGTACCCAGTACTATGCTAAATGCATTAATTTCATACTCTGATTTCATCTTTATAATAACCCATAAAGTAGGTACTGTTATTTTCCACATTTTACAGATAAAGAAACAGAGATTCACATTAGCAGAACTTGTTCCAAGTCCCACAATCAAATGGTAGAATTTAAACACAAGCATTATTCTAGAGCTTATACTCTTAATTACCAAATTATATACTTCTATCAGCCTTATCCAAAAAGCCAAGAGGAAAGAAGTTTAAGCTTCAACAATACTTAAGACAGTATAAATATGGCTATTAGAGATCAGAGGCAAAAAAGAAAAGTAAGCAGAAATGACAATATCTGATATTATATATTCTCCACTTTTAATATTTCCCTTCATATTTTAAGGACGATATATTATGCTAAAGGCAAAGTGCTTCTGAGGTTAAAAAAACTAATAGGATTTAAAATAACTTAGAAATTCTTTATATATTAAATAGTTTAAAGTTTCGTACCACTATCAAAACAATTAAGATTTATGTTCACCTACCAGTAGATAAAAATCCCAAGGAAGAAAATGGGACTCTAATTAAACTTTCTACATAAAATAATTTATACTAATAAGAATGAATAAATCCAACAATAAGAGATTCCAGAATCAAGCCTTGATTTATTGGTCTACCTTGCTTATTGCTGGTTTCACTGAAGTGATCATTTAAACAAATCTCTCTCTTTTTTTTAAAAGACTTAGTTATTGGGCAGCCCGGGTGGCTCAGCGGTTTAGCGTTGCCTTCGGCCCAGGTGTGATTCTGGAGACCCAGGATCGAGTCCCACGTCGGGCTCCCTGCATGGAGCCTGCTTCTCCTTCTGCCTGTGTCTCTGCCTCTCTCTCTCTCCTCTCTGTGTATTCTCATGAATAAATAAAATCTTTAAAAAAAATTTAAAAAATAAAAGATTTACTTACTTAAAAGACTTATTTAGGGGCACCGGAGTGTCTCAGTTGGTTGAGCATGGGTTGTGGGATTAAGCTCTGTGTAGGGGCTCTGCTCTGCGCTCACTGGAGAATCTGCTTCCAGATTCTTTACATACACATACCCCACACCCACATACAGCATGCATGCTTTCTCTCTCTTTTAAGTAAGTAAATAAATCTTTTATTTTTTAATTTTTTTTTTTATGATAGTCACACACAGAGAGAGAGAGGCAGAGACATAGGCAGAGGGAGAAGCAGGCTCCATGCACCGGGAGCCGGACGTGGGATTCGATCCCGGGTCTCCAGGATCGCGCCCTGGGCTAAAGTCAGGCGCTAAACCGCTGCGCCACCCAGGGATCCTTAAAATTTTTTTAAAGATTTCATTTATTCACGAGAATACACAGAGAGGAGACAGAGAGAGAGGCAGAGACACAGGCAGAGGGAGAAGCAGGCTCCATGCAGGGAGCCCAACGTGGGACTCGATCCCGGGTCTCCAGGATCAGGCCCGGGCTGAAGGCAGTGCTAAGCAACCGAGCTATCTGGGCTGCCCTAGGAAGAATTTTTTGACAAAATTACCAAAACCTTTTTTTTTTTTTTAAAGATTTTATTTATTCATTTGACAGATGGAGACACCACAGCAAGGGGAGCTGCAGGCAGAGGGAGAGGGAGAAACAGACTCCCCATTGAGCAGGGAACCCAATAAAGGACTCGATCCCAGGATCCTGAGATCACAATCCTAGCTGAAGGTAGATGCTTACCCAACTGAGCCACCCAGGCGCCCCGTCAAAAACTTTTTAAAGTTTTAGAAAAAGATTAACATTTTACTATAGCTGAGGTGTTATTTCTGAGGCAGAAGTCAATAACACAATTTAATACCAGCATTTGGAAACGTGCAATTTACCATGAAAAAGGGTTTTGGGGTGGTTTTTGTTTTGGTTTT